AAAAAACGAAAAGCAAAGCAGATGTCTGGTATATGCCACATGACATTTAATGTTTTCTAGAAATAACCCCTGCCAGATTCTGATTTTCTTTTTTTTTTTTTTTTAAACTTTTCCTCCTTATTGATTGTTTATTGCAGGTATTTTATCACAATGATACAAAGCTGACTAACTCAGTCCCCAATTTACAATGGTTTAACTTAAGAATTTTTCACCCTTACAATGGTGCAAAACCAGGAGGAATTCAATAGAAAATAGACTTTAAATTTTGAGTTTTGTTTGATCTTTTCCCAGGATATCAATATGCAATTCATTATTCTCTCTCTTTTTTTTTTTTTTTAATTTTTTATTGTGGGTTGTTCAAAACATTACAAATTTCTTGACATATCATATTCCACACTTTGATTCAAGTGGGTTATGAACTCCCACCTTCACCCCATACACAGATTGCAGAATCACATCAGTTACAAGATTCTGATTTTCAAAGAAAAATTAAAACATGCTTTCTAAGGTCTGTTTCTTTGTCTCCACATAAGCACGGTAAGAACAGCCCAGAAACCCACCTCAGTGTGTCTTTGATGTAATGCATTATATTCCTTCTTCAGTTCTGCTTCTCTTTCTTCAAGTCTGCTAACTGAAATTAAGATACATACACTTAATCAAAACCAAATACAAGAAATTTACTTGAAAATGTCTGTCTTAAAAATGTGGAATGGATTATCCATAATGCTTATTAGCAACTTTAAGACTCAGTGCTCCATATGAAATTCTGTACAAAGCAGTGACCTCATTTCATCATCTTTAATAAATAAAACTTTCAGAGATGGAGAATCAGGGGGAAAAAAATTAACAGATTGGTTCTCTTACATATGTTTATTAGGTCATCCTTCTAAATAGATTTTTATTTTGTTTCTGGTACTGGGGGTTGAACCCAGAGGTTCTTTGCCACTGACCCCAGTCCTTTTTACTTTTTAGTTTTTATTTTGAGGTAGGTCTCACTAAGTTGTCCCATCCTCCTGCCGCAGCGTCCTGAGTTGCTGGGATGACAGGTGTGTGCCACCACATCCAGCTTTTGAATAGTTGTTGTGGTTTGGGTTTTTTTTTTTTTTTTTTTTTTTTTGTGGTTGTTGTTTTGTTTTGTTTTTGTTTTTTCAAAAACAAACTTCCTTAAGGAAGTTTTAACCAGCAGTTAGGGCCCAAATTCTTATGTTTTATAGTAGTATTCAAGATCCTTTTCAGCACTATCGTGAAAGTATCTTCTAAGTACTCTGCTCCACAAGTCTTCTCAGTTTAAGGGAATTATCTTCTTTTATTTAGCTCCCTCTGCTGATGGATTTTGTGAGTAACAGTGATGCGGAATAGCACAGAATAAAACTTACAATATTAAAACAAAAAAGAAAGCTTTAGAGCCTGAAATAAAGAATATCAGAGCAGGATATTGGGAAAGAATGATTGATAGAAAAGAAGAGTGACTCAGAAGAGGTGAAGTCCAAGTAAGACCACAAAGAAATTATAATATTCAAGACAGATGGTAATGAGAGTGTTCTAGACACTAATACCATAGAGAAAGGAACACAGAACCATGCTGCTGGTGAGGCAAATGGAAGATTGGCCAGTTGGAAGAGGTCACAATGATTAAGGAGTTGTGGGAGATAGTTACTCATCCTTGTGAATCAATATTTTCTTGATAATGTACAACCAAAACAAAAACTTGTTGCTAAGGCTAAAATGAAATCCAATTATCATCCATAACTTCAATTTCAAATTTGTGTTCATTAGCAAAGCCTCATTATTCTTGTCAGCTAACTTGTTATAACACAAATACATTTATATCATCATTACTATTGCTAACATTATAGACTTTTATATATTTTATATATATATATATATATATATATATATATATAAAATTACATTATAGACTACTTATTATGTCCTAACTGTAAATAAACTAACTTATTGAAGTCTGACATTAACCTTATGATAAAAATATCATCATTATATTCATTTTGGAACTAAGGAAACTGAGACAAATAGTGACAAAGGTGATTACTTTATAACAGGAGTCTTGTCCAGAATCTCTGTTCTTAATTACCATGCTATAGAGAATCTCAGCAAACACTCCTTTTAATCTGTTTTATATATTGGAATATACTCTTAATATTTCCCTGAAGGAAGGGCAAAAGCTTCAAACAAAAAACTCCCTGTTCTTGTGGAAATAACCAATTATACATCAAACTGTCAAGCAAAAACACATACTCAATTTTATTAAACATCAGGGAGAAGCACACATTATGATTTGGATGTGATTTGTCCTCCAAGAATTCATGTGTGGAAGCTTTGTTCCCAGGTGGAAACTAGTGAAAAGCCTTTGGGTCACTGGGATGGCTGCCCTTGGAGGAAATTAAGGCAGCTCTCATAGGACCCCTAAGTTTTCATGAGAGCAAGTTGTTATACTAGAGGACCTGACCCCTGAATTTCTCTCTGGCTTCTTGTTTTTGAGATGTAATGTCTTCCTCCTAAACACACTCCTGCCACAGTGACACCATCTGTCATTAGGCCTTCACCAGAGGCTGAACCAATCCTCTTCTCCCCCACTGCTCAATATTGGACTTTGAACTTCCAGAACTGTAAACCCTTTCCTTGTAGTTAGCCTTCCTCAGGTATTTTGTGATAATAATGAAAAACAGAATAATACATTAAAAGCAAACATTGGCTAAAATAAATATAATTCACAAGCACTGATAAAAATGTAGAACAAGTCCAACTTTCATATACTATGATGGGGAGTATTAACTGGTATACACAACCTGAAAACTTTTTTGCAAAACTTAATAAAGTAGAATGTCTGTCAATTCTATGACAAAACAGTATCACTGCTAGGAAGTACACATACATATCCATCCAAAAGCATTTAAATGTTCAAAGAAGCATTATCCATAATCAACCTGGAAACAATCTAACTATCCATGAACAGCATAAGGGATATTCATGTACTGGAATAGATGGAAAATGAACAAATTATCTCCCACACACATCATGGATGAATATCACAAGCAAGATGTTGAGAGAAGCAGAAATCAAAGAATATAAAATTCAAAGATACACAAAACTAAAGTATTAGAAATCAGGATAGCAGGTACCTTTGGGGAGGAGTTAGTCTCTCGACCATGAATTTATTATGTATGTATGACCCACCCTCCCCCAGTTCAAACATAATATGTATCCAATAACACAGGGGCTTTCCTTGGCTTGAATATTCATTATGTTCATTACCCATTATGCTATGAGTTTAACACGTAGCACAGAATTTAAACAGACTAGCTTAAACATATTGTGCTCTAGGAGTAGTGGCATATGCCTGTAATCCCAGTGACTCAGGAGGCTAAGGCAAGAGGACTGCAAATTCCTGTCTCAATAAACAAATAAAAAGGACTGGTTGGTGGCAGAATGCCCTTGGATTCAATCCATAGTACCACAAAAACAAATATAACCAAGTTGTATTGTTCTGATTTCAGGATTCACAGGTAGACAGCAATAGTATTACCAAATTAGAGAAAATATAAAAGGAAACAAAGATGGGTAAGGAAAGATAAACTAGAATTACTTTGTTAAAGGTCATGTTGGTAATTTATATAAGTAATATGTATATCCTTTGAAAATATGTTCTTATTTATCCTACAGATATTTACACTTATGCCCAAAGATATGAAAATGAAGACCTATTGTAACATATCTTATAATGACCTCCAAATTGGAATAACAACCAAATTTGCCATTAGAAGGTTGATCATGAAAATTATGGAAGTCATACAGTATCAATATCATGCAGTGGATTTCCTACTTATTTACCACATGACCACAAGTAAATTAACCTCCCTGGGTCTCAGTTTCCTTGAGCAGTTAACAGTATATCAGAATTGATATTAAGGGCTGGGGTTCTAGCTCAGTGATAGAGGGCATGCCTAGCACATGTGAGGCACTGGGTTCAATCCTCAGCACCACATAAAAATAAATAAAATAAAGATATTGTGTCCAACTACAACTAAAAAATATTTTTAAAAAAAGAATTGATATTAGGTTAATATTTGAAAAGGACAGTCAACAGTGCCTGGCACAAATGTGTTTTTCAAATGAAATACAATAATTAAAGATGCACTCAAAAGAAATGCATTGTATCTATATATACTGACATGGGATGCTGTTAAGAACTGAACAGAAGGGTGTTGAATATATATTGTAGAAAATTAAAAAAACAAAATACAAAGCCACTAAAATGTCCACAAAACACTAGCTCTTTTCCACACTCTTCTTACTCAAACAAAAATTTTCCCACCTATTCTTTTGCTCTTTTCTTACTCTCATATCACATATTCAATCTATAAACAAATTCCTTCCATTCTACCTTCAAAATTAATCTAGAATCTGACTCACTTCCCCCCCACACTTTTTTTTTTTAACCACCTCTGACAAACTTCCATCATGGTCCAAGATATGATCTCTTAATTAGATCATAGCAATTATATACTATCTAGTAGCTCAGCTTAGTTATTGTTCCAGTATATTCTCAAAAAAGTCTGGGTGGAATTGGAGAGTGACTGACTACTTTAAAACCCTTCAATGGTTTCCTGTCAAGTTTAAAAGTGTGTTGGGGGGGATGGCATTCTTAACAATGGTCTACAAACAATGGTCTACAAGACTCCTGTCAATTTACTCAGACCACCCTACCCTTGTCCCTAACCCCATACAAAACTTTGATGTCATTACCTAGGCATTATAGACTGGATTGTGCCTTCATCCCATAATTTCATCATGGGTGAAAGCCTTAACTCCCAATGTGATTGTGTTTGGGAGTAAGACCTAAAGGATGTAATTGAGGGTGGCCCGGGGGAGCGCCCGGAGGCGGGGGAAGAAGTCGGGTTGGGCCGCGGTGACGGGGCTGTCTCAGGGCGCCGTCCCGCCCCTCCCGTCCGGCCGCCCCTGCCGCCGCCGCCGCCGCCGCCGCCGGCGCCGCCGCGGCCTGGGGGTTGGTTGAGGCGGGCGGTGGGGTCCGGACTGGACTGTGGCGCCGCCGCTGCGCGAAAGGGAGCGGACAGTCAGAAAATGGGTAAGAAGAGTCGAGTAAAAACTCAGAAATCAGGCACTGGGGCTATAGCCACTGTGTCTCGGAAGGAAATCTTGAACCTGACCAGTGAACTGTTGCAGAAATGCAGCAGTCCTACACCTGGCCCAGGAAAGGAATGGGAAGAGTATGTACAAATCCGATCTCTGGTTGAGAAAATACGGAAAAAGCAGAAAGGTCTGTCTGTTACTTTTGATGGAAAAAGAGAAGATTACTTTCCTGATCTAATGAAATGGGCCTCTGAAAATGGGGCTTCTGTCGAAGGTTTTGAAATGGTCAACTTCAAAGAAGAGGGCTTTGGTTTGAGAGCAATAAGAGACATCAAGGCAGAAGAGTTATTTTTATGGGTTCCCCGAAAATTACTAATGACTGTTGAATCTGCTAAAAATTCGGTATTGGGGCCCTTGTATTCTCAAGACCGGATTCTTCAAGCCATGGGAAACACAGCGCTGGCCTTCCAACTCCTGTGTGAGCGAGCCAGCCCCAACTCTTTCTGGCAGCCCTACATTCAGACCCTCCCCAGTGAATATGACACTCCCCTCTACTTCGAAGAAGAGGAAGTTCGGTGTCTTCAGTCGACACAAGCTATCCATGATGTCTTCAGCCAGTATAAAAACACAGCTCGACAGTATGCCTATTTCTATTAAGTCATACAGGTGAGCAGGGTGGCCTGGAAAAGGGGACTTGATACTTGCATGTATGTCCCACTGACATCTTGTTAAGGATACTTAAAACACTTTGCTTTTCAAATTAAAAAATATTCAAGTATATATATATATAAAAAAGGATGTAATTGAAGTTAAATGAGGTCATGACAGTGGGGCATTAATCCAATAGGATTCATGACCTTATAAGAAGAAGAGACACCAGATATCTTTCTAAACCTAGAAAGAAAAAAGTCATGTTGGGACACAGAAGACTTCTACCTGCTAACCTAGGTGAAGGGCCTCAGGAAAATCCAAACCTGCTTGTAGCTTGATCTTAGATTCCAACCTCAATTGTGAGAAATAAATTTCTGCTACTTCAACTATCCAGCTTATGGTAATTTGGTATGACAGCTTTAGCTTATTAATATATCAACTAAAAACCATTAAGTAAGCCTCATAAGAAGCTTTCATACAAAGTGTTTGTTAAGTAACTTTGTCAGGGAACAGGGTCTATATCTTACAGAAACAGGTCATAGTCTTATACTAGCTTACTCATCAATGGTCTGCATAGCTTTGTTGCAATGGACTACTTAGCAAGACTATGGGAAAGAAGAAATAAAACCTCAATATATCACTATTTTTTGGATTTCCAATATTTATTTGAATGAACATGACCATTGTTGAGACTGGCTTGGGTTTATCTACAAAAATTCCTTGACGTTCTATTAATCAATTTATTCTCCTTAAACATTTTGGATTATCCCTATCTATAATTCCTTCAGTCTCCATTCACAGCTTTCTAATCCATTAGATTTACCTTCTACTTAGTTTATTCCCATTTGGCAACATATTTTTACTTTTGCCCAAAAAATAATATTTGATAAAGTATCAACCCATTCTCTAACCACCTTGAAGACAAAATTTTTATACTTACTAATCTCATAAATGATCTGTAAATATTATTTCTTAGCAAGGACTTTATCACACACAAAAAGGACATTCAGCACATGCAAACTACATGGGGTTATACACAACTCGTTCTCTATCTGTTGTTTTTAAATAGACTTTATTTTTGGAATGGTTGTAGTTCACAGCAAAATTGAGCAAAAATACAGATATTTCCCATGTGCCCACCACCCTTTGCTCCACACAAGCACAACATCCCAAGTGAGAGTGGTACATTTATTATAATCAATGAACCTACAATGACAAATCATCACCCAAAGTACATCATTTACATTAGGTTTTACTCTTGGTATTATGCATCCTGGGTTCGGAAAAATGTACAGTGACATATACCCACCTTTAAAGTATCATACAAACATACAAAGTAGGTTCCCTACTTTTAAAAATTCTCTGTGCTCCACCTATTCATCTTCTCCTACCTACCACCAATCCTCAGCAATCACTGATTTTTTTTTTTTTTACTGTCTCTGTAGTTTTGCCTTTTCTACATGGGATATAATTGAAATCATATCATAGACTTTTCAAATTGGCCTCTTTCACTTAGTAATAAGCATTTGAGGTTACTCCATGTCTTTTTGTGATTTGATAGATCATTTCATTTTAGCACTGAATAATGTTCCATGGTATAGATTACCATGGACTATCCTGTTATTTTCATACGAGCCAAAAGTCTTGAAATTACAAGCCTTAGAAATCACCATTTCTAAGCACAAAAGTTATATTCTTAATTCAGAAAAGTTGTATTTTAAGATATTTTCAACTAGTATTATGTATGTTGAAAATCTGTATAACAGATCATGTCCATGTTTTCAATGCAAAATAAATCATAACTACACTTAAGCCAAGCTCTGTTTTAGTTTTTTATACAAATACATTTTTCCTATTACACTAGTTAATAACAGGCAAAATACTGAATTTTTGCATCATCTTAAATAAAAACAATTTTCCTGGTTAAAAATGTCTAAATAAATTAGATTTAAATCTAATCAGCTTGTCTAGCAAAGTATATCATCTACTTGTATCTTCCCCTCCAATCCAGTACAAGAGTAAATTATAGCCTATTGACCTCACCTACTTACTTGAGATCTTTTACTAATTTACTTGTCTGTCACATTAAACAGAAAGTTTATCATTTTGTATAGTTATACTCAAATGTGTCACTGATAACTAATCATACAAATCAAAACAAGAAGATTAATAATATATTACCCCCATTATTATTATGTAATCACACAGCTTTATAGAGAAAGTTCAAACATTAGTTTATCCACTTCCCCATTTATGAACAAGGCACTAAACAAGTCAGGATACCAAGGGGAAATCCAAGGAATATGTTCCCCAAAAGTTAGGCTTTCACACAGCTAAATTAGAGTTTTGGTTATTTCTGGCTGTGAGACCAGCAGGATATACAGGCAATTCAAAGTAGTGAGGACTGGGCATGGCAACATGCCTATATTAGTTCCAGTGGCTACAGAGGCTGAGGCAGGATTGCACGTTCAAAGCCAGCCTCAGCAACTTAGTAAGACCCTAAGCAACTTAGCAAAACCCCATCTCAAAATTTAAAAATATATATATAAAAAAGGGCTGGGATGTGACTCAATGGTTAACCATCCCTGGGTTCAATACCTGGTACCAATAAGTGGCGGGGGGGGGGGGGGGGGGCGGGCAGTGAGGGATCACAAATACATATAATTCAGTCCTAAAAAGAAATGTAGTACCAATGCATAATACAATATGAATGAACTTTATGCTAAGTGAAAGAAGTGGTCACAAAAGACTCTCTATTGTAAGATTCTGTATGAACTATCTGGGTTATACAAGTCCACAGAAACCAAAAGTAGACTAGTGGTCATCAGGGAGTAGGGGAAGCAGGGAAGTGCTAATAGAGAGAATGCTAATACGTATGGAGTTTCCTTTTGGGGTGATGAAAATGTTCTCGTATTAATAGTGGTGATCATACAACTTTGCAAATATATTAAAAACTTCTGAGTTGTACACACTATGTGGTGGATCTTATTATATTCTAATTAGATTTCAATTTAGAAGAGTAATGACTAATTTAACCCTTAACACAAACATCAGAAAATTTATCTCCTAATTTAATAATAACCTAAATTACCTCCTAATTTAATAATAACCTATCTTTTAAAGAAAAAGAAGGAAAAACAAATAATAAGGGAATGAAATCTCAACATTTAGTAATGTTGACTAAATTAATGAATATGCAATGATAGGTTTTTTGTTTGTGGGATTTTTTTGCAGTGTTGGGGATAGAATTCAGGCAAGTGCTCTATCATTAACCCATATCCCCAGCCTGCAATTAAGAGTTTCAAAGCAATGATAAAATCAAACCAGAGGAACCTTAGGTTTTTTTAAAAAAAATAACTGTTACATTTTCTTTAAAAGTTCCTCTTTCTGAGGCCAGTGCTGTGGCTCAGTTGTAGAGTGCTCATCTAGCATGGATGAGGCACTGGGTTCAATCCCCAGTACCACATAAAAATAAATGAATAAAATAAAGGTATTATGTCCAACTACAACTAAGAAAAAATATATATAATTTTTAAAAAGGGGTGGGGGTGTGTAACTCAGTGGTAGAGAACTTGCCTAGCAAGTTCAAGACCCTGGATTGAATCCATAGTACCACCCCCCCCCCTAAAAAAAAATTATCAGACTGTATATAATTTTCATTATTTGTCTGCTAAAACAACCAGAGTTAGCTTAATATATATCAGCTTATAAACATTTATGAGGACATTATTCATTTAATGTCCTCATAAAAGATGTCATAAATCCAAGGTACATTATTACCCCATTACACTTAAGAGTAGTGTCTATAGTCAGGTGTGGTGGCACACACCTGTAATCCCAGCAGCTCAGGAGGCTGAAGCAGGACGATCAAGAGTTCAAAGCCAGCCTCAGCAATTTATGAGGCCCCAAGTAACTCAGTGAGATGCTGATTCTAAATGAATACAAAAAAAAGCTGGGTATGTGGTCCAGTGGTTAAGTGCCCCTTGATTCATTCCCCAGTACCAAAAAAAAAAAAGGAAAAAAAAAGACTAGTGTTTATGTCTGTTATGCTGAATGACTTTCTTTAAAAAAATTTTTTTTAATTGGTTCTTTTTAGTTTTATGTGACAGTAGACTGTATTGTGACATACTATATGTAGTATAACTTCCCATTCTTGTGGTTGTACATGATGTGAAGTTACATTCGTCCTATACTGAATGACTTTCTGAATGCTATTCTGGCAATTATTCCCTCCTCCCTAACACAACAATTACCTAGACAGAAATGTTAATGACTTTCTGTATTTCTTTATCTGTACTGTGATCTAAATATTATCTTTTTAGGTATGTATACAGTACCAATCATATAAAGATCATAAAATATTATCCTATAACCGATTAATAATACATAAATTATGTATTATATATACACACATGCCAACTGAGATTATGTAATACACTAAGATCATATAATACAAATTCAGAAGCTCTCAATCTTTTCTGAAAATAACTGAGTACAACAACATATCCAATAAATTCAGTTTACTAAGGTTTAAGTCATGTGAGATGGTACAAACATTTTTGAAAAGTACCTTTTAGCACAGGGAAGAGCCATCTCAAGAGTCCTGAATGCCACTAAGGAAACAGTAAAGGAAAAAGGAGGGAAAAAAGAAGGGAAGGGCAGAGCAGAAAAGTCAAGTCAAGTCCTTGGTCAAGGACTATAGAGATCCCAGAAGCCTCAAGTACCATAAAGTTAACCAATGCCTATATTGTTATATTACTTCTGAAATGTATTGCAAGGTCATTTCTTGTTTAAAAGTTCCCATGTGAACCCAAACTTCAAAATAATCTCAGGAAAAATCCTAAAATCTTATCTTCTTGCACATCAAAACAAGCTACAACCTGCCATTAACTGGCAATAAACAAGTTTCTGTTTATCCTACCTATTCCAAAACAAAAAATAACCAATCTGCAAATTTTTTTTTAATCTGCTAATTTTCTAGGGAGGGAAAAAAATGAAATCATGGTACCTAAAAGGAAAAAAGT